TATAGTTGTCTTTGAAATGCTGGTTTTAAAGTTGGTCTTTGACTCTTGTTTGTTCTATATTCCACCAATAGTGTACTAATTTTTGTATCTGCTCAAGTCTGGCCACAAATCACCTGGCTCATGCCTTGGTTTCAAAGACTGTCCCTCAAATGGAGACTTGGGCTTCAGAATTTAAAAAAATCTGGTTAAAATATCTGTCAAAAGAGGTTTTTCTTACATTGTGACTTGGTTTATATTGAACACTGGAGTGAAATAACATTTATTCATAATTTAGTAAGCAATGTTAATAGTAATGAATTTAGAACTATTTTGAAAGTTCCAAGATCCGTGTGGTCACATACTTTCGGGTCGAGACACGCCAGCATGCCCCCAGGTACACGCTGAGGGGTGAGTCATGGAGCAACAGCAAGCAAGACTCTGTTGCTCAATGAGCAGCCCTCTTGCTATTTATTAGCCGTAATAAACAAGCATGATAGGTTATGTGACAATGGCAGGAGGAACAGAGTCCAGGGGAGACAAAAGGTGATCAACTTTATGGGGACCCGAGGGGACATGTGGGCCATGTATACAGGGGGGACTTTCTGTGCAGGTACATGGTGTTATCTGTTGAGTTCCACCCAGACCCCCTCAGACCATGGTCACACAATCAGTCAACAACTACTTAGGTGTCCCTGGCTGCCTCGTGATGTGGGCCATTGTCTTAAGACAGTCATGCAGGAGAGCCTTATCCAAATAGTTCACACAACACCCTGGGGTGTACAGAGAGGCCACACACACACACAGGTGCAGAGTACCCAACGCGTAAAAAGGCAACAGTATACTTTTCAAGAATTTTCTCAAATGCACGAAAGTTCTTGTCCAGGTTTCAGGTTATGTTTTTGCTGTTCTCTCCCTCATCTAATTAAATACACGTATTTTCTGTTCTCCTTCTTGAAGATTATCTCTATCCACTTAGAGTTTGGTAATATCATGGGAACCAATGCATCAGATTACAAGAGGAAAAAGTTTATCTACTCTGCATTACTGAAACTTTATTCCAAAAAGCTGACATTCTTTGATATGAAGGAGAAATTTACTGAAGAACCACAAATAGCAATACCTACTCAGTTTTAATTTAAAAATATCTGTATTTACAAGCAAAGAACAATTTTTCTACAAGCAATTCTATTATACTATACATCTCAAATTTTGTTTTTCATATATGCACAGAAGGTTGGGTATAGCAAAAAAAAAAAAACAAAACAGCAGTCTTAGTTCTGATTCTGATCTTGCTTGAATGCTGCATGGTTTTAGGTAGCCTCACCAAACTTCAGTTTTCTCATTTGTAAAATGGGAATAGTACACACCCATTTCACTTTGAAGGTTAACTAGCTAGAACTGAGGCACATAGGATATGGCAGTTCTGCTTGTCAACCAGCAGGGGGTGTGATCCAGCCCGTGGTGCTGATACAGTGTTTTAGCACTCTTTCCTCCCAAACCTCCCTCTCATTCTAGAGTTTAAGGCCCAAGTTAACCTCCTTTGGCAAGTACAGGCCAGAACCTCACTAGATCTGGCTTCAAGCAGCAAGTGACTCTGTGCCTTTTTGCATGGAGCACTGCTTTGTCCGTTCTTAGGGCTGTTTAAATTCTTGGGTGCTTGGCCTACTTCTGACTTTATCCCTGGTCATGGTTTGCATTTTTGTCAGCGAAAACGCTGGCCTTGTTTTTGAGATAGGCTATGTCGTTTTTGATCTCTGTACCAACCTATGTGTGAATTTTTACTGAAGAACTTGTGTCAAAATCTGAACTTATGTAGCCAACTTGACTAGAAAGCTTCATTCGTGCAAGTGCATTACAAGTTGTAAGGTTCAAATAGGAGGGACAGAACATATTGACATATATAAAAATGAAAACCTAAGGTTCCTCTTTTTCTGAACTCCATTAGGTATCGCTGAGGATAGTCAACCGTTCAATGGTGAAGAGACATCTACTGGAGCAAATAGTAATGCTCAGTGTGGTCTGCAGTCAGCTCTTACTTGATTTGGACCGCTGGCTCCTTTCCCACAAATAGTTTGATAAATACAGTTATACTGTTTTTTATGCTCAAGGTTCATCAAATATAAATTCATTTTCTTAATTTGTACTATTTTATGTACCCCAAAAGTAGAAAAGACTGACGTCTGTTAAGCTATACACAACATTTCATATCACTCAGATTTTAAAATATTTACTAAACGAGCTTTTTTTAGACTTTTAACGTAATTAAAAAAAAAAATCATGAGTCACTCTTGCGAAAAGGAAAGTGTTGATGTTGTAAGTTAATGAAAGTATTTCTTAAACTCCTTTATGTTCAGGGACCAGTGTTCTTGAGTCACTCTTCAATTTAGTGTGGATGGCTGTCTTCCTCCACACTCTATTGTGGATTATTTGCTTTTCTATAAAATGTTGCTCAACACAGCATTGCTCAACATAAAGTGTTTATCAAAAGTGTCAAGGACATGGTATTTCTGCAAAGATTTATCCAATGCAATTTGCAGGCTTTCTCCCCTAGACTATTGACCTTGCCAGAGAGTGTCGACAGTGGCATGTGTTTCAGAAACAAGCCTTACGATAACTTTTTATATGTTTAGCATGGAATCTTTGGTCCTCTTAAGAACTGCTTGTGGTTTTACAAGAAAGCGAGGAATTGTGATGACTCTGACCATGATGAATATCTGCTTCTTTAATACCAAAATGTATACCCACTGCTTGGTGTCCATAACTTCCTGCAGTCACAATGACTCTTGCTTTAATGTTGTTATACAGCAGTTAAAATAAAAAAATACTTAAAAGAGCAATTAAGTCAACAATACAGTTTAACCAGGCATATAATTCAACTGAAGTGAAGAATATGAAAACTCAGACTGGGTTTTAGGTAATCTAGGCACTAGCTTACTGAACGTATCTTGCATCTTCAGAGATGTTAAAATGTGAAAAAAAAAAAAGTCTTCAAATTGATGAAATGGGATAATTTTAAATTCATGATTTTAAAGTGTGAGCTATTTTGCCTAAATAATTTAGAAAAGTGAGTTCGTGGTTAATATTTATTTCTAGGAGAAGCACTAGCTTTATTTTATGCATCTCAGTTAAGTTAAATTTATCAAGTTCAAGGATCTTTGTATGGAAGTATCCCATTGACTAATTCATCCTCTTTACTAAATATCTAAGTGACTAAACTCATTAAAGCACTTATTCCAAAGCACAGAGTACTAAAGATCTAAGTAACTAAACTCATTAAAGCACTTATTCCAAAGCACAGAGTACAAAGCACACTCAGCATTTATTGTGTGCAAAGCATTACTCACAGCCACCTGTCACATTGGGTAACTATTAATTTTCCCCATTTATAAGACAAAGCAAAAGGACACAAAGAGATTTCATACCTCGTGAGGCCAGAACTCAAATTCGTATGTCTGGCCCAGGAATGCAAAGTTGAATTTTTAACTTTATGCTATGCTGCTTCTCAATAAGCTATTTTGGCTACAGTTCTGGTTTTCAAAAGTTCCCACAATTTACTTAAAAAATAATCCCTCAAAACTTTCCAGATCATGACAGCACATTGTGGGAGAAAAAACAACTCTGCATTTGAACAAACAACAGGGCTGGTCCAGGTCTTGAGCATGAGTGGAACCAGCTGAAGAAAATAGGGCTCAATCAGAGACTTTATCAGGTTTTAGGAATACATGCCCTTGGCAAACAAACACAATCAGAACAAAAATTACTTTCCAGTACTACTGAAAGGAAAACTTGTTGGCAGGGACTATGGAAATGTGGTGACTAGTAATTATTCAGTCGAAGGAGAATATAAACTGAGACTTACACAGAGTGCATGCCAAACAAAACTATTACACTGAAATTCAAGGAGACCAAAGGTAAACCCAACTGTTCAGGTTACAGTGCTTCCCCACTATTGAATATACAGAGGTGGCACTGGGTTGCCAAGGCCAAAACAAGAAATGATACCAGTTATTTTTCAGACTGAAACCTTAACGAAAGTCAAACTGAATTTGTTAAAACTCAACTGTCTGGGCCCTCCCTGGTGGCGCAGCGGGTTAAAGCACAGCACTGAGAATCTGAAGCCACTTCCGTATGAGTTCGATTCCCGCCTGCCGCCTGCCCCGGAGGAGACCACATGGCGAGCCAGACCTCTCCTGGCCCGCCCGCTGCTCCCCTCAGCAGTGTACTACGTCGATCTGCCTGTTCTGCTCCCCACTCTGTCTCTGGTGAAGCCTCTCACCACCCCTGAGCCTCTGGCCTGTACCCCACTTCTGTATGAATAAATAAATAAATCTTTAAAAAAAAAAAAAAAACTCAACTGTCTGAAGTAGTTGCATTTCCTCTTAGAGAATTTAAATACTAGATTCTTCCTTATCCAAAATGTAGACCACATAAACATCTATTGGTCAAATATGAATGCATCTTAGATTTCTCAGAAGATCTTTATTTAGGAAATACAGTGTGTAATATATTTATACTTCCAGGCATCTAACATGTTATGAAGGATAGAATTATGTATAACAGAGCATTTTGCTTCCCATGAGTTAAATGGCTTTCTAGATCATTGTTTGAGTAAACAGTTCAAAAAACCTTGAAGTGAAGTACAGGTAGCAGTCAAATAAAGATAAATAAAGTAAATGAAAAGAGAATAATAACATAAATCTATGCCAAAAATTGTATTTAATCAAATTGTTTCAATTAAGAAACAAGTTATTTACATCAATTATTATTTTTCCCTATAACTTTATGAGTTATTATTTACATTTTTGGACCAGCTAGTCACAATTTCCAAATACCCTCTCTCTACAAGGTGGAATAATTGTCAAGGGCTGTGTAGACACAGGGATATCTAGCTAAAAGGCTATGGACTCTCTTAAAAGTTAATGTACTCTCTAGAAAGAAGCACGAGGCTTTCTTAGTTCAGACATTCAGCAGAGTCATGCACACCTAGGAGCTTCAGTTCCATTTTCACAGCAGTGTTTTTACTACCTGCTAATGAGATAATCCCTTATTTTAAATACGACTATTCCCAGGATGACAAAAGCTGGGATAAATGAATACAAAATCAGAAAGTTTGCAGTGAACCTAGATGTTGCACCTGGGCAGATGTTTTCATAGAAGTCCGTTTCTTGAGTGGAGATACATATTGAATTAGCTGTCACAGAACCATTTGAGCTGCCACAAATGAAAGTCTGTCCATAGAATTCATTGACAACAAGAATCTCACAACAATATTTTTGAAAGGTAAAATAAGTGAAGATTGTAAAAGGAATGGACATTTCTTCTGTATTTCTCAAGAATCCAGATCCCACAAGCACAGAAGAGCTACAACACTATTGACCACATTTGGGTTTTGGACCATACCAAGTAGCACAAGAGTTAGAAGTTTGCTAATTAAGTGGGGAACCAACAGAGCAGCAGAGAAATACCCAAATCTGGCAATGTTTGGGTATAAGCCCAGAGTCCTAGGAAAAAACAGGAGGTCTTCCATTAGCCATCAAAATGATGTGAAAATCTGCATCATTTTGAAAAAGAATACCATGTAGGATAATCCAAGCTGAGTGGAGGATATGACAACTTCTATTTGATTTTTATAACATGTATAACATGTATATAATACATACATGTATTACATACACTACACACATATTTAAGTTGAAATTTAAAAAGAACACTTCTGAAATCTGGATTGACCTAGATGCCTTTACTTGGTCAATGTGTTAGGATCCAGGACTCTGTGAGAAGATGAAATTCATGACTAATGTTAATTTGATGTGTCAGCTTGGTTGGCCCAGGTGCCAGATATTTGGCCAAACATTATACTGAATGCTTTTTTGAAGGTTATTTTTGAATGAGATTAGCATTTAAATTGGTGGACGTTGAGCAGGTTACTTGCCAACCCCCACTATAATGTGGATGGACTTCATATAGTCAGCTGAAGGTCTACGAGAACAGAGACTGACCTTCTCCACTCCATCCCTGAGAAAGAGAGAATTCTGCCAGCAGACTGACTTTGGACTTAATGCAAACTCTTCTCTGTATATCCAATCCATGCTCAAATCCTTAACATAATGCTGTCTTTCTCTTTCTCTTCATAAACATATATATCCACATAATATTGGTTTTGTTTTTCTGGAGAACCCTGACTAATACACACACCTGGAAGGAATTGAGAGTAGAGATGTCACTCATTTGCTGTCTTCTGGAAAAATGGATCTAGAGCAATTTATTAGTGCTTAGCAGGACAAATTACAGAATACATTGATGATTTTTAAGTAACATTGCCTTCAGTAAGTGAACAAGTGTATAAAAAAATGTTCTCTACTCTATAGATGACTCAAATTGAGATACTATTAAAGTTAAGCACAAATAAGCACCAAGATAATTCTAACTATATTCCAAAAAATACTGTCATGATCCATTGAGATATGAAACACTATTATAAATTTCAATTACCTGAGGAAATGTAGCCTTATATAAGTTCTATATGCATAAATGAATCTAAGTGGTACAAAACCAATTGTGAATATAAAAGTGGGAACACTCTATTCCATCAAGGAAATAGACTAAAATTTCACATTTTAAATAAAATTTTCATGTACATTCATGAAGGGTATTAGGATGCTGATTTCCTGCAGGATCACTGCAGGATTTCGTCTTTAGGATAGTACTGACATCATAGAATAAATTGGAGAGTTTTTCTTTTAGTATTTTGTTTAAGATTGGTACTGTTTCATTTTTTGGCTATTTGGTAGAATTCCCTGAGTTATTTGGGAGATGATGGCACAAAGGTGGTGATCGGGAAGGTTCCGTGCTTGTTCCTAGGAGGAAACTCCAATAATTAACAAGAGGCTTGTTACACAGAGAGAATATGGCAGCTTAGGATGACTATGAAACACCTGTTGGCCATCAGAGTCAAGCACAGACTACAACAGAAGACATAGAGGCGTTTCACACAGTGTTGAACTAAAGGTGGGTGGAGAGAAATGCCTGGAAGGTGTGGTCCAGTTTGGGGGACACAGAAAGCAGTACAGTCAGCGTAGCCAGGCACCGGGGAATAGGAGAATACGGCGGCACACATCTGCGAATGAGGGGGAGCACACACGGTGGTCCACGAAAGCCAGATCTAAGGAAAGGAAAGAACAAAGGAGTCTCCCTAGACTGCACTGGTATGACTTCTTTCTTTCTTTCTTTTTAATAGTTATGATAGCGTTGAGTCTTAACTCCTAAGCCACTGGGAGCCTCCTGGTAACTGAACTCTTGAAGAGCTCTTAGAGTGAACAGACTGTGAAGTCTTAGAGATTCAGACTGGAACCACAGAGGAGAGGGATTTAGTACAGAGATGCAAAGACATTTTGACATATAGAAATCCATCAGCTGAATTCAGCATAACAACACATAGAAAGGTATAAATTACATGATGCAGGAATCAAATGAAAAGATGCAGAGAAAGCATTTGATAAGATTCAGTATTTATGATAGCACTTAAAAATGGAACTAGAAGAAACATATTCAACATAATAACGGCTTTCTATACCAAATCCATGGCTAGCCTCATACTCAGTGTTGACAAACCGAAACTTTCCTCTGAGATTACTAGGAGACAAAGGTGTCCTTGTTTACTTCCACCATTCAACATAGTATTGGAAGTCCAACCTAAAGCCATTCGTATAGATAAAGCTATAAAAACAATCTAAAAATGGGCAAAAGTAAAATCACTATTTGCAGGTGAAATGGTAATGTACGTAGAAAGCTCCAAAAACTCCACTAAAATACTATGAGAAACAATAAATCAGCACACATTTTGAAGTGATTTTTAAGTGGATGCTACAAAATCAATATATAAAAATCTGCTGCATACTTAGTCTGCCTTCTCCAAATTGTCTTTCCTTACTAGAATTTCAATTTGTTTTCACAATCTTTTATAATTTTTGAACTATCTAACTATAAATTTTGAAATTTTGAGAAATTTTCTTCTTATTTAGCTATGGCTTTTTTTTTTTTTTTTAGTTGTTCCTGATATTAGTTTGCCCAATAGATAAAAGCTCTTAGAGGCAAACAATAAATTGTTATTGCTTATGCTGTCTACACTGTCTCCTTTTTTCCCCTCCTGCCCCTCTTAGGTGCTTCTTGAGGACTTTATATATATATATATATATGTGTGTGTGTGTGTGTGTGTGTGTGTGTGTGTATAATATATAGACTATATAGGTGTACACTGATAATACACACACACTTACATATGTGTAGATACAGATAATACAGATAAATATCTCTATATACACATATTTATTAAGTATATAACATAGATCGTGTGGGGTGTGTGTATATTTGGGAATGTGAAAGTAGTTTACTGACAAGGTCAGTGGTTGTATCAAAAAGGCCTAATTCTCCCAATTCTAACATCAGCAAAAAGATTAGCATTTCAAAAAAATTTGACTTTTAGGGAAAAATTACTATTTCAAAAGTAATGTGGTATAATTTTGGTTTGATTTTCATAATGGTTGCAGTGATCAGTTAACTAGGCTGATTTCCCAGCCAGACTATGGTGCTCATTTGTCTAGAACATTCTTCACATGCAGGGGAAGACAAGTGGTTGTTGTTCTTTTGGTTATCCCATATTGGTTATGATGGACTTCCTTAGGTCTCCTACAATGTAAGTATCACAGAAGGGAAGATGAAGATCTGAAACGTTGAGACTTTATTAATTCTCAAATTGTATTCCTTTATAACAATGGGTGGGCCACATTCATTTTCTGTGCACTGAAGCCAAACCTGCCTAATATGTGTCTTTAGTTGAATAATTAAGAATACCATTATAGTGAAATGATCATTTTGGTTTTTCTGGAGATCATCTTAGTTTTCTGGCTATAATGTTCATGAACAAGAACCTCCTAGTAATAATAAAAATTTTTACAAATATATTAAAAATTTTCATGACTACTAGTTGGCACATTTAGACATTTTTACTCTGATTTGGCTTCAATAATAATTTTTGTGTTTACATTAGTCATTTTCTGATTCAAAATATTTAAGATATTCACTGAGCTACTTCATTGTTAAGTCTTAATGATGAGTAATTATACTAAAACATACTGTGTTCAAACCAATCTATTGGAGCTCCTTTTTAAAGTATAAATACTGTTATAGATTATGCGGCATCCATTCCTCACTCTGCGTGAGGCCAGTGATATTAAAAATAGAACAAGGTAAAAGCCCAACCAATTTATGTCAAAATCACAGGATTTCACTGAAGGGCATTCAGGGAGTTGTACAATTATATTCACATTTTATGTGGAAAATTTCTCTGTAGAGAGCATATAGTTAAGGTTCAAATAGTCTGAGTTGCTTCACTGAATAATAGCTAAATATGTTTGGTATATATTTCCTACTACTTCCCTTTCTTAGAGATTCTTAGTGAGCCTCTATGTATTAAAAATCTCAGATGTTTGCATGAAAGGAAACTGGTTTAAATAACCGACTTAACAGTTTTTAACTGTTTTCTAAATATTTGAGGAAGCAAATCCTTTTCACTCCATGGCTGGGATCAGTGTTTTGTAGGACTTACTTTGGGAAAACTTGAGCACTGTGTCTATCTGAATATTTAGTTCCCATTAAATAAATGCAAGGAAATAACTTCCTTCTGTTTTGGTCTGATACCAGAACACATGAGAAAGATGCTAATAACAAGTACAGGCCTTTATAGCTGATGACATGTGCTACATGCATTTTGTCTGTCAGAATAATTAGTCACCCTGTTCAATTTGTCAGGTTAATCACTAATCCCTTGTCTTTCAGAACTTATGCTCCAAATTGCAGCTGACTCTTAGTTGTTAACTTTACTTCACATAACCATATTTCCTAGCACAGAAGTTTAGGTCAGGATTAGACATCTGGCCCAATCTAGGCACCCCATTTCTTAGGAGAATTGGTAACTGGCTTTCTGAAGGGCCAGGTAGTCCTGGGTGGGACTGGATCTGTACCACTGTAGCAATCTGCTGTGTGAATGAAGCAGAGAAAGCCAGTTTTAGGAGGGAGTGTGGAGAGTTTTCTTATTAAGGTCCCAAAACTTCATTTTCTGATCCCTAATACTTTCTACTCCCCAGCTACAGAGTGCTGTCCTTAAGTTTTAGAAGATATCAATCTATATATCTATTCATCTATCATCTAGCAAGCTAACCATCTACCTATCATTTATTCAAATATCTATTATTTATCTACCACTCTTACTATAAATATCTATATATAAGTGGACTGCCTGCCTCATATAATCTGCATATTTAAATTTTGGGGCTAACCTAATTCATATTAATTAATGTTTCTTATCACTTCCCAAACCATGGCCCCCACATAAATCAAATCCTATTCCTCTTATTTCTTACTTTATAATGTCAAATCCAGTATTCCAATGTTTCCAATCATTTTCATGTTTACTCCATTCTAAGTTTCCCAAGTATTTCTGTGCCATTTTTAGGAGAGATCTTTAGTTAATTTTAGTTTCCTGAGATATAGTCAAGGTGAGTGCACCTGAGACTACATTCAAACTTGTTCTTAAAGTTTAAGCTGGAGTAGCAGTAATGCTTTAATAAGAAATCCAATATTAGGGCAGGTGCAATAAGACAAAGATGTCAAGAACGTGAGGAATCAGAGATTTTATCCTACCTGATAAGTAAATATTTAGTTTGCTACACTTTCAAAGATATTGGTGGAAGACACAGTATTTCTGGGTCAGTGATAAAGAAGTTTATTATTCACACTCTTATCAGTAGCCAGAGTATCAAAATTACTTTGTGCCAAATCTCTGAGCCCCAATTTCTACAAGATGACACAGAGGGTCAGGTGACCTGCACACATACTGTGTTGAAAGAAACCTTGAACTTAGGGAACCTGAATCTTTTATAAAGGGCAGTAACTATGCCTGCTTTGTACTCTGCTGAGGAACACTATTCTTATCTTCCAAGGTTGTTTGCTACACAAATATCTTTGAGCTGAGAGCTTCACGCCAAGCAATATTTGCTCACTAGACATGAATAGTCACAAGAGATCTTTGGAAAATTGTGCCCACCATGGGGTTTGTAATCCTTCTTAGAGTAATGTCATACAGAAAAATAGGTAGATCAATGTAACAGAAATAAAGTCTTACTTATCTATGCATATAATTGGATTTCTACTGCCTGAACTAAAAACATTTACTTGCTTTAATTTCTACAGTGCAATTCTGATACTGACTTCACAGAGTTAGTGCAAACTTCACAAGTCAAAGGCACTGTTTGCCATAGACACTCCTCACTTCAGAGACGAGCTACAAGCTTTGGGGCTCTCAGGTCACCCATATTTGTGACCACCTACAAATTCATGGATCTCTACTATCACCCAGCTTTAATAATTCAACTGAATGACTTGTAGAACTCAGGCAAGTTACAAAACCACAGTTTCTTAGGAAGGATACAGATGAGGGCCTGTCAAAGGAAGAGATGCACAGGGAATTATCTGGAAGGTCCTAAACATGGAAGTCTTTTGTTGTGAGGGCATGTTACTTTCTAAGCACACCAATGTAGGCTAGTCAACGAGGAAAGTGTAGGAGAGAAGGGAAATTTCTCCATATTCCTGGTTCTTCTTGGTCTGGATGAGTAAACATAACAGCATCAGATTAGCCACAGAAAAAGACCAATTTGATTATGCATTCATGGGGAACTTATATAGAAAATGAGGATATTGACATCAGTGGGGGGGATTGAGGCATCAGTGGGGGGGGGATTGAGGCATCATCTTGAACTAGGATAGGAGTCTGGGCTCCAAGTAGAAAAGAGGTGCCCTCAGATGATGTGGCGAGGGTGATACTTATGACAGTAGGATGCTCTGTTATTGTATCCTTGCCCTCTATATGGATAGGGCAAGCTTCAGTAGAAAGATTATTCTGATAAAAATCCTAATGTTGGAAATACCCCCAACGTTCTTTCTTCTAGGTGGTTAAAGGAGTGGATAAAGTTCCTCATCAGCTTGCAGGGACTAAATTGATCTCAGATTGAAAGAATTTACAAGCCAACATGACTTATTTTGGGAGAAATATTATGAGCAATTTAAAAATTACTCTCAATTTCAGGTATCCTTAGTTTCTATTCAGTT